ACTAGTTTCTTTTTTTTTTTTTTTTTTTTTTTTTTTTTTTTTTTTTTAACTAGTTTCATTTGTTAGAAAAATGATTTAAAAGGAAACAATACAAGCAAATTAAAGAAGCAAGTAGTCAAGGTGGACGGAGTGTTTACAAAAGTATAACAAACTCTCAAGTGAAAAAAAAAAAAACTCTCAAGTGATTAATTCCCTTACGACTCCTTTTCTAAACTCCTCTCTTATATGTTTCAAAATACGTTTATGATTTTATTGATTTCTTGTGGAATTGGAAGTGTCCAACCGTCACGTAGTCGGCCATTTTCAATATCCTCACTAATTAAAGTTTGGCTAAATCATAAACTTATATATATACCAATCGGAAACAAAAACTTAATTCATGCAGTATTTAGTAACTATAGATCTGTTCATATTGCTTTTGTAGAAAATCCACACCTAGGCATTTAATACAATAATTTATAATTAAAGATTGCTAGAATCATAGTATTATCTAAATTACCTAATTTCTGTGTTGTTGTTATATAGTATAAAAATCATGCAAAGAATCGGTTACATTTCTAAATGGTCGTTAGTCATTGATATTTGATTATAATAATGAAGTACTGCATTTCGAGGAATACTAAATAATGAACATAAACAGCAGGTACATAAAAAAAAATAAACATAAGCATAGAAACAAGCATCTGATGCTCAAATACAAAAAAAAAAAAAAATAAGAAGAGAAAGGAAAAGGATGATCAGTGATGTGATTAAGGAAATAGTTAAGACAGCTGATCATACATATATTAAATTATTATGCAAAAAAAACACAGATAGAGAAGAGAATATTCCTCCAACGGCAAAGGTTATTAAGAACCAATTACACTTCAATCATTGAGAAACACGTCAATAGCTTGAAACTTCACTCTGATTGCGTTTAGCTGTATAACGCGTTACGCGCTATTGCATCATTTAATGAATATGAATATATAAGTAGGGATGTCACCGCTTCCATATACATATATATTAACATTTGCTCTCTTCGAATGTAGTTACTTGGTGGTGTTAATCGTAATCTTACTTTTCATATTTAGTTATTGTCTTAAACAAATAATAATAAATAAAAAATTAGACGCGGCTAGTTTTAGAATTTGCTAATCGTATAGTCATAAATTCATAAAACATTGGATTAAATAATAAAAAGTGGGAATGTGTGTGTAGTCAGTCAGTCACGTGAAAGGAGTTTTGGGGAATTAATAGATATAAATTGAATGAATGAAGAAAAGGTCCGTACGGTACAGTCGTACAGGATAACCTACCCGCTCCGATTTTTTTTTTTTTTTCTTTCTTTTTTCTTGGGTTCTCTTACGTGTCATACCGTACAAACCAACTTGACTTGTCTTGACAAATTTAATTTAATACTAATTTGAATAATTTATATTCAAATTAAATGAGGACAAAAGTGGGACCTGTTTTCCACTATTACAATTTCCCGTTACACGCCGTTAGCTTCTCTCTCGTTATTTCTTCTTTCCGTTTTCTTACATCTTTGTATTTCTCACGCCACATATTTAAAAATAATTTTAGTTATATTAACGTCAATTTCAATACATCATCAAACGGAGAGCCGCCAACTATAAGAGCTGCAAATCTCCGTCGAAGTTTATCTCCATTACATACCGAATTCGAGGCTCTTCTCTGGGCGATGAAGTGTATGATAGGTGCAGATAATCAAGAGGTAGAGTTCCTTACAGACTGTTCTGATCTGGTTAAGATGGTATCTTCTCCAACCGAATGGCCGGCGTTTTCAGTGTACTTGGAGGAATTTCAGAGCGACAAGGAAGAATTCTCATCCCATCCTTCTCTTTATCTTTAATTTCTCGCAATGCTAATGTAAAAACGGATCATCTGGCACGAAAAATTCGTACAGAACCGCTTCATATCACATTTGTAAACAACATTCCACAGGAATGGTTCTTTTGAGCTCTAATTAATTTCAGATGACAAAAAAAAAAAAATAATGTCAATTTCAATAGTCGGCTAAAAATCAATAACATTAATATACTCCTTAGAAAATAAAATAAAAACCATCGGATACTCCTCTTTGTGTCCTATGGTCACGTTCTCCTTGAAAAGTAAAGTAAATTTTATCAATACTTCAATTGAACACAATCAATAGATTAACAAAGTACCTCACTCTCGAATAAACATAAATCATTTTTTTAAAATTAAATTTTATTCATCCCACATAGTGGGCTTTGGCATTGGGCCCAACAAACAAAAGACAGTTACAAAATAGACCTAATTTAACCATAAATTATGTTACTCATTCTTCTATGTTAGCGGTTAATGAAACGAAGAAACATAAATCTTTTTTTGGAGTATTAGCAATGGCTAATAGACTTTTCTTTCACAAACAAATTAAACTATCAAATTAAGAAAGTCAAAATGTTTGACTCCAACTTAAAGAGACAAACCTCAAGGGACCACCCGTACGCAAGGACAGCCACACGACCTACTTTTCCGTGTTTTACACATCAATATGCTTAATTCTCTTCATGAAAATACAGAGAGTCATAACTCATAAGTAGCTATATGTCTCTGCATTAAACGGAATAGAAAATATAAATGCAATTGTTTTTTCCCAATGTGGTCCGTTTTTAGATGATTCGATTTCAAAGTGTGGGGGGCCACAGTTGCACATTGGTCTTAGCTTTTATGGTGTACTTACCTCACTCTCTAGCATCTTGGCTCCACCTTTGTCCTTTTGATTTTTCTTTTCAAACTTTTGGTATAGAAATGACGTTCCATGACTCATCATCTTCCTTTACATCTATTCCATGACTAAGCTTTGCTATTTTATTATATCCCACTATTTCATTGTGTATATTATTGGTTGATAATGCCATATGATTCTATCGTTTTATCCTTTTCAGTGACATGTTATGGTCGGTCGTGTGCTCGTGTTTTGATTAAAGTTGGATTGTCATTTGCTTCTTCTTTTTTCTAATAGAGTTTGTCATTTGCTTTTCCATCTGTATCACTTTTCTTTTGTTTTTGACGTTGTCAATTGCACATTTGCACTTTCCCTTAATTTTAGACTAATCTGGTGAATTGCCTACTACATTAATTGACCATAATTAAAGGAAGAGAAGTATCGCAAAATGGCTTTCCCTACATAAAGACATAGGCCCGTGTAAGTGAATCTATATTTTTGAGTAGTATGAAAATACATAGGCCCATGTAAGTGAATTTATTTAGACATGGGCGGATATATCGATAAGTTTATACAATGATACTGATGGGCCATATAGTTACAGAATAATTAAACAAATTATTATTTTTTACCTCGTAGGACCTCGACCCGCCTACTCGGGTCTTGTATGGATATGCAGGAAGGGGTGCTCCGCAGTAACCTCCTTCACTTCATGCCTTTATTTTATCGAATTATGTTAAATATTACATTGACCCGATTCGAGACTGAATTTTTTAATAATTTATAATGATTATTAATTTATCGAATATTAATTTATAGAGGTTTTTTTTTACAATCTATTCACAAGTTTAATCCAATTTACAACTGTGCTCACTTCTTTTCTTCACCTAATCTATTTGGATGTTGTATAATTTCTAAATCACGTTCACAATCACCGTAAATATACTATCTTAGATTTAACTTTAGTGAAATATGCATATAGACAATAATAGATTTTAAGTTGATTTTTAATACTTAAATTTGTCATGTTGTATTGTAGATTTCTTTTTTTGCGAATTGAAGAATGTATTTTAAAAGATACAAAACATTATTAATAAATTTGCCTCCGGCCTTCATTACTCTAGACATGGCTATGCCAGCAAGTAACTTCTTGATGACATCAATGAGATAGTCACATGGCCCAAACGGTTAATTGATAACAGTGGCGGAGCCAGAAAAATGAGTTATGGGAGTCATAATGTTTTTTTATTTTATAAATATTAGTTTTATTAGAAAAAATATCATTGCAAATATTCATTTTTAAAACATTTTCTAAAAATTATAAGTGAGCGTATGATTCATCTTTAAGATGAATATATATATATATATATATATATATATATATATATATTTGTAAAGATCTTTGTAAATATTTGTAATGACATCTTTAATTTTTTTGGCTACAAATATTTATGTTAATGACATTTTTGAAGAATTTTATTATCGACATTTAGGGATTGACTTTTTTAAATCAACTTATTCCAAAAAGTATTATTTTTTATTAAGTAATTAAGCAACAAAATCAATTAAAATTTCGTTAAAGCCCAACAGTTTGTAAAAAAGGCCCAACGATAATGTTAATATGCCAAACAGTAAAGAAAATTAGTAGCAAATTTATATTTTAAACTTGTTTTGTGATAAATATTATCAAACTGCAAACTTTAGAATGTTAAATATTAATCTTTAAACTACCGTCATGGATTTGAGAGAGGTCAATAAAATTTGTTAGGAGTCTCAATAACTACTTGGACATATGTCAAATAATTATTTTAACAAAAGTTAAACTGAAAATCATAATTTCATGGGTGTCACATGACCCCCATGATTCTTCATTGCCTCCGCCAGTGATTGATAACGTCTTCCAAATGACTAGTAACTCGCCCGAGAGGGTCAATGATTTCATCAACAACATTCTACACAAAACAATAAGTAACAATGAGAAGTTAAATGTGGCTACCGAAATTAAAATCAAGTGGTAACAAAAATTTATTACGTACTTGAAGTTTGGATTTATGAAACATAGTCATTGCACAAACGAGGCCGTACATAACAATGTCCTCAGTCCTCAGATGATATCACCTCGCTATAATCATAATGGCTTACGTCTTTCCAGAGCTTTATGAACTACAATATAAATATATATATATATATATATATATATATATATATATATATATATATATATATATATATTGACAGCCACAACAATATATATAAAATTTAGATAACAAACAGTATCACAACTCAATATTAATAAAAGATATTTTTACCCTTTCCGAGCTGGGTGATACTCGTTTTCCAAGAGATCCGCAAGAGACTTAACGCAGTCGAGTTTGAACCCGTACGTACTCCCTTTTTCGTGGCAGTAAGCTATTTGCTCGACACTTCGGTGACGAAGCTCCCCAAAGTTGCGGGTCTCGAGGGCCACCAATAGAGTAGCCATATAAACATCGACAGTTTGAACCTGCCGGGTAAATGATCGGAAAACGATTGCCATTTGGCCATAGTGGTAATGGAGGCAATACTGACGAAGTGCAAGACGGTCTTTTTCGAATTCGTCCTACAAAAGAATAGAAGATTAAACGTACTATATGGAATCGTCTTGTGCAAGCAATACTTAGTCACTTCCTTACCGTAGCTATTTCTAACTCGTCTCTTAGAATGTTGTCTTGTTTGACAAAGTTGTTGTCCTTAGTAAGACGCCATTGTTCATCCAAGAGATAACCTTCTGCTAATTTGCCTTGTATCCTTTCAGCTATAACTGTGAACAAATGCATGTCACATACGATTCCGTCATTCCGGATAAGATTATAGGCAAGTCGAAGGAATTCAAATTCCAAATCATCACTGAACATCGGGCCAACAGCCCAACACAATTCTCTGCGATATGAAGTAGCTTTTGCACTAGGTTTCGTCCTTTGTAGTTTCGTGAATAGCTTCCACATCCAAGTCCAATTGATCATCATCATAAGTAACTGCCATTAAACAAGATTTTCAAGTAAACGACAACAATATCTTTCTTCTTTTTTTTACACCAATAACTCAATAGATTTTAGAGTAAAACACAACATTGAACGAACTAAACTGGAAAAAAAAAACAAGTAGTTAAAATTAAGGTTTTGTGCAAAAAAACTCTCCAACTCGCCTATTTTTGCAACTTTACTCTCAATCTCCGAAAAATACAAATTAATTCTACGAAGTCCAAAATAATACGTAATATATATAACCCTTATACGTATACTGTAAACGTTTTTCCGGTCACATACATTAGTTTTCAAAAATTCTAAAAGTAGAGTTGAACTCTTCATCGCGAGGGCTTCGATTTGACATATTTTTTAATCAAAATTTTACGAACTTGATGGTAGCGAATAAGAGTTACATTGCGTATTATTTTGGACTTCGTATGATTAATCTGTATTTTTTCGGAGATAAAAGATAAAGTTGCAAAAATAGACGAGTTGGAAGGTTTTTTTGCACAAACCCCTTAAAGTTACCTCAATATCCATCTTGTTTATTAATAGTTTTTTTCAAAATATTTCTTCAAGAAACACTTAAGAAAGTTAGATAAGTGAAGTGAAATCTGATTAACAAACGAAGCTAAATTGATGCTGCAAAAACAAATTTGTGTCACAAACAAAATCTTTGTACCAAACTCAAAACTCTGTTAATCTAACTAGTCGATGGATTTTCCTAATTAAAACTGACACGATTCTAAACGAAGATTACTTCATAGGCAAGGAAAATTAAAGAAAGTTATAGAATTGTTCAATAACACAGATTAACTGTTCCGAGAGAGATATCTCATTTGAATTGCATGAAAAATTAAGTAAGTCTGCTGCAAAAACAAATTATGTCACAAAATCAAAAGATTCAATCAACGCAACTTCGCACGATTTGGAAAGAAAAATAGTTGAAGTTAGCTGTTAATCTTGCTAATCGATAGAATTTCTCCAAATTGAATCTCTGACGATTAATAACTTTAAACGACGATTGCTTCCTATACAAGAAACACAAATAAAGTTAGAGAAGTGTCCCAACAAGCCAAATTAACAGTTCTGAGTGCGAGATCTCATTTAATAGCACGAAAAATAAAGCTAAGTTTCTCCTGCAAAGATGATTATACGTAACAAAGAAACCCACATGCACCAAAGAAACTCAGTAGATTTTACATTTACCGCAACTTTGCTCTATTTGGGAATAAAGAAGAGTTAAACTTACCTCAGTTCATCTTTCTAATCGAGAGATTTCGCAAATTGAATCTGTACGATCAAATGCATAATTGATTCACTAGTTGAGCTATTCGTCTAGTAGATTCTTGAGCGAAAGAATCTTAAGAATTCACATGTATGGTCTTCAACAATCCCTTCGATGATGTGACTACAAGACCTTAAGCTTATATCTCTCTCTCTTGTATCTCTTTCACTCTGTTACAGATTAATTTCTACAGGTGAAAGAAGAAGAAGATGAACAAGAAAGATAATCTGACTTCTAACGGATCAATTTAGTTTGTTTATACTACTAACTGATCTGATCTGGTACGGGCCCTTCCACAATAACTGAAGCCCACGCGCGTGTACTTCACCCGAGACCACCTAAACTTTTCCCTCTCTAAAAAGAGATTTTTTATATTTATTTACAAAGAAAACTGTATAAAAAGTAGGCCGGGCTTTCGGTTATCGGTTGGGTCCATTTGGTTTCGGTTATTTCGGTTCTAAAATTTAGTATTCATTCGGATATTTTGAAATTTCGGTTCGGTTTCGGTTCTTTCCGTTTTAAAATTTAATATCCATTCAGTTATTTTCCATAGGATATTTTCAGATATTTCAGTTATTTGTGAGTATTTTCGGATATTTTATGATATTTTTTGGTTATTTTCGAGTATTTTTACTATTTTTATATATTATTCAAGTATTTTTGATTATTTGATCTATAAATAACTAATTATTTTGAAAATATAATTGTATTTCGGATATTTCGGTTACCCAAAATATTTCGTTTCGGTACCGATTCGGTTACGGTTATTTTGGTTATAAAACTTAGTATCCATTCGGTTATTTTCAAATATTCGGTTCGGTTCGGTTCGGTACATTCAGTTCGGTTTAAAAGCCCGGGCCTAATAAAAAGCTCCTTACATGAAGACCATTGGCCCATGTTAGTCATTTTGGTTGAGCCCGAGAGCATTAATGGGCCAGGCCCATGGAGTTAACCTAGAGCAAAGCCGCATCATCTTCCTTGCGAAATAACCTTAAACCCTAATTTCTCTGATTCTTCTCCGGGACGGAAACTGCATAAATACTCGACTTTCAATTCAATTTTTAAAAAGACGGCTAGGGTTTTTATAGCTTCTCTCTACAATGGCGATGTATCTTCTTTACGAATCATCCTCCGGCTACGGATTGTTCGAGGTACACGGTCTCGATGAGATTGGACAGAACACAGAGGCGGTTCGGAGCTCCGTCTCGGACCTTAGTCGGTTCGGGCGTGTCGTCCAGCTCACTGCTTTTCACCCATCTCAGTCTGCACTCGACGCTCTTAACCAAATCAACGCCGTCTCTGAAGGTGAACTCTCTACTAAATTACATCTCTTTCCCTCTTTAGTTTTCTGCACCAGTTTCATATACTGTATTACTTGCTTTCTGTTATAGTTTATGCTGGAAAGAGCTTAGTTTTTAGAAATTGAGCTCTTATTATTGTTGGAATCAGCTTATTCTGTTCTGTTTTAGTCTTTGCTTGAGCTTTTGATGATAAAGTATTGATATTTGTATTGGTTTTACACCTTGAACTCGTAGGATACATGAGTGATGAGCTGAGGAGTTTTCTGGAGTTGAATCTCCCGAAAGTGAAGGAAGGCAAGAAGCCCAAGTTTAGTTTGGGAGTGTCTGAGCCTAAAATCGGGTCTTGCATTTTTGAAGCTACAAAAATTCCTTGCCAGAGTAATGAATTTGTCCATGAGCTTCTTAGAGGTGTGCGCCAGCATTTCGATAGGTTCATCAAAGACCTAAAGGTGCGAAATTTATTTATGATTACCAATTATCTCCAGTGGTTCCTTTTTAGGTTAGTTATGCTCAATGTTATATCCTCATTATGTAGCCTGGTGATTTGGAAAAAGCGCAACTTGGACTAGCTCATAGTTACAGCAGAGCAAAGGTGAAGTTCAATGTTAACCGTGTGGATAACATGGTTATTCAAGCTATTTTCCTACTTGACACACTTGATAAGGATATCAATTCCTTTGCTATGAGAGTCAGGTTTGTTTTCTTATTGTTTTGCCATTCAGATTATGTCTTGTCTGTTACCGTAAGAGAAAATGGTTTGTCAGCAGCTTATATAATGTTTTTGCAGAGAATGGTACTCGTGGCACTTCCCTGAACTTGTCAAGATAGTCAATGACAACAACCTTTATGCCCGAGTTTCAAAGATTATCGTGGACAAGTCGAAGTTGTCTGAAGAGCACGTCCCTATGCTTACTGAAATCCTGGGTGATGAAGATAAAGCAAGAGAGGTTGTTGAAGCTGGAAAAGCATCTATGGGTAATAAACTGATGGAGCTTGTTCGATATGAATCATACTTTTTTCAATGTATCTATTTCTCTCTTGTTCTAAAACTTTTTTTTTCCCTGCTTGAAGGCCAGGATTTATCACCGGTTGATCTGATCAATGTCCAGAGTTTTGCTCAGAGAGTTATGGACCTTGCCGATTACAGGAAGAAGCTCTATGATTACCTTGTTACTAAAATGAGTGACATTGCTCCAAATTTGGCGTCCTTGATCGGAGAGATGGTTGGGGCTAGGTTGATTTCACATGCAGGAAGTTTGACAAATCTTGCCAAGTGCCCATCTTCAACTCTCCAGATTCTTGGTGCTGAGAAGGCACTTTTCAGGTACATTTCAAGCTTTGTTTTTGTAATGAAAGTTTGATTTTACTGCAGTAACTGACTTTGGTGTATATTTCAGGGCGCTGAAAACCCGTGGAAACACACCCAAATATGGTCTAGTATTCCATTCGTCATTCATTAGCCGTGCATCTGCTAAAAACAAGGGCCGTATTGCTCGTTTCCTTGCAAACAAGTGCTCCATAGCTTCCCGGATCGATTGTTTCTCTGGTAAAAATTTAGAGAATCCCCTGAATAAGAAAGATGTGTTTGTGATAGTGAGATGATGTTTTTGTTGTTAACTATAAAACCATGGTGGCTGTCTTATGCAGATAGCAGCACTACAGCTTTCGGTGAGAAACTAAGGGAACAAGTGGAGGAAAGACTTGACTTTTATGACAAAGGTGTTGCCCCACGTAAGAATGTTGACGTAATGAAAGAAGTGATGGAAAATCTTGAGAAGAAAGGTACATATGACTCTCTTTATGACCCAACAAAGCTCTCTGATCTGTTGAGGTAAACGGTTTTGTTTGATGGGTTGTTTCCTCTCCTTTTTTAGACGAGGGAGAAAAAACAGTGGACGCCTCAGAGAAGAAAAAGAAGAGAAAGACAGAGGAGAAGGAGGAGGAGAAGGAAGAGGAGAAATCAAAGAAAAAGAAAAAGAAAAGCAAAGCAGTAGATGGAGAAGAATTGACAACAGAGAATGGTCACAGTAAGAAGAAGAAGAAGAAAACTAAGTCACAAGATGATGAATAAACAAACAAGTCTGTGTAATGCACTAGTTTTTAGTTTTCTATCTTCCACATAGCTCGGGTTTTGACTTTAAAAACAATTTTAAACATAGCGGAAATTAGATAAGGTTTTCTACTCTTGAATTGAGTCTGTCTTTAAACAAACGAACAAGCTTGATTACTATTATTGAGTCTGTCTTAACTCTTAAGCTAGTTTTGTTTTCTGCCTCTTGACTTATAACGTCTTTAAACGTATCGAAACTAGATCAGATTTTCAACTATTGAGCCTGTCTTAAACAAAAGAACAATGTTGACTATTTAGTGTCAGGTCTGGTTCTGAACTTCTGAAGATGATCAAATTTTTGTTGATGTTGAAATGGATCTTCAAGTATATATGATATGGATCTGTTTTTGCTCAATTCTTTGAAAATGTCGACAACAAATTAACACTACAAAAAAAAAAAGGATTGAAGATGAGAATTAAACATGTTCTTTTTCTTTATTATCTCAAACAAAACTAAAAAAACACTAAAATTGCAGAAACCAGAGAATTCTGCTAAATCATAGCAACAAAAGAGCACAAGAATCTAATCGCAGAGAATAAGCCTAATCATGGCAAGAACCAAACACGAAACAGAGAAGAAGAAGAGCGTCACAAAATCCCTAGCAGACCATTTCCTCACAGGCTTGGACTCAACTCTCAAACTCTTTGCTCTACGAAGAGCATCAACTTCCTTAAGCAAATCAAATTCGATACCTTTCTTCTTCAACTCTTCAACACATTTACGCAACAGCTTCGCATCTTCTTTCTCCCTCTCCAACAACTTCTCAAGATGCGATTCCACTTCCGATTTGTACCTCACCGCCCAAATGATTCCCAACGAAGATAGCAGAGCGCAGAGTGAAGGGATCCATGATCTTTTACAAGCACTGGAAGCAGAAGCAGAGGAAGGTGATGATGAAGAAGAGGCGTGGAAGAGGAGTAACAGAGAAATGGAGTGGAAGAGAAAGAAGAAAATGTAAAGCTGAGTGATTTCTCTTCGAACGGAATCGATCTGAGATTCTTTGTGAGAGACACGGCTGAGGATTAGCTCTTCTTCTTTTAGCCATTGTTTCAGGAGAAGCTTGTGTGTTGGTGTATCTGCGATCTGGTGAAGAGGATGTCTCGTCTTTGCCTCCATGATCGGTGGATTTGTGCTCTGATCTGACGCCATGGAAGCTTTGTGATTAGAGAGAAAGAGAGAGAGAGAGAGAAGTGTAGACTTGTGATTCGCAGAGAAAAAAAAGATGCCGACTTTATTGAGGCTCTTTGGTAACGGCTCTTTTGGGTTTTATTTTTAAATATTATGTGAATTTACAGATTTGTCCTGAGTGCGTAACGGTCATCAAAATACGACTCGGCTCGGCTTGGCACCGTCACACATTCTTAAACTGGCCCACGGTATATTAGGCCCATGGATGGCCCACAAAAACAAAGAAAAATAATCATTAAACTACAAGTTGTATAATCATCTAGACCACTCACGTTATATTTGTGTTTAGTAAATTAACTTATCATTAATCTTGAAACTAACGCTTGAACCACATGTCATCAACATACATAATGCAACCAATAGAATTACAGAGAAAACATTTTCTATCTCCGAACGTTACAAATTTGTAACACCTCTTAAGGAAATGGTGTGATTCACCTTTACCATAAAAGTTAAAAGTGTAATAACTAATAAGCGCGAACAAAAAAATGGCTTTGCTTGCAAAAATTCTTATTCTCACCACACTTGTAACAACAGTATCAGTAACCTCTAGAGCCAATGAAGAGCTAATGATGCAACAATGTCACAACTCTGACAATCCCACCTTGTGTCTTCGTTGTCTAAACTCCGACCCCACTTCTCATGAAGCCGACAAAGTTGGACTGGCTCGTATCATCCTCAAATGCATCAACTCTCAGCTCCTTATCCTCACCCAGAACACTTCCACTTTGGGCTCGCAACACTACCGGAATCCCAAGGCTGCAGCAGCGTTGAAGCAGTGCGGTTTGGGTTTCTCGACAGCTAAGCGTGGCGTGGGAGAGGCCGACGCTCACCTTATAACCGGAGATTACGACAAGGCCGCGAATGACGTCAGCGTGAAAGTGGTGAATCCTCCGGTATCGTGCCGCAACAGTCTCGAGACACTCAACATCCAAGTCCCTTCAAGTTTCCGTTACCATATGGATGTTTACTTGGCGTTGACTCAAGCTCTCCTCAGGATCGTTGATCGCTTCTAGATAGTTTATGTTTCTTCAACAGTGTTTGTCTTATCGACAGTGGCGGACCCAGAAAGTTTTTTTACCGGGGTCAAAATGTATGACAATAATTAATAAATTTTTTTTTTAAGAAAAACTAAAAACAAACAACATTTTTTAAAAAAATAAATCACAAATAGGTTCAATATTTATGGGTGAAGCAAACAAAAAAAACTAAAAAATATGTGAGAAATAGTGCCAAACACAAAGTAGTAGAAAAATATTAGAAAACTTAAAAGGTTTAAACACAAATTTGTAATTTTAAGGGGGTCAAAACAGAAAACATATAAATAATATCATAAATATTAAAGGACTATAATGCAAATTTAGAATTTTAGGTGGGTCAACTGACCCCCTTCAAGCCTTTTTGGGTCCGCCATTGCTTATCGATATATTATCAGTGACTTTAACTATGTCTAGGCCCTCTAATTAAAATCAAAGTTTGCTTCTTCTTGTTATCCGTTCAAGATTGAATGCAAAATAGTGACACCTAAGTAAAAAAGCTTAATGCCATTAGAACAAAGTAGCTGATGCTTTTTATATGTTTCTGTCTTTTGCATGATACAAGTTACAAAAAAAAAAAAAAAAAAAAAAAAGTTATAACCTTCATTAATACTAGTCAATGTGTCAAACATCTCGAAAAAATTGTATGAAGACGTAAAAAGCCAAAATTTCCCGGACTAATCTATTTTTTTCTTACTCTGTTTTTCGAAACAGAGTTTCTAACGAAACTAATTATCCTCTTCCACTTGAACATGAAACTAACTAGGGACTTAGCTACAGGTAAACTCAGTCGTGAATTTGGAAAAATGGTGACAACTTTGCTTTGTTCAAATTCCTCTATGATCGCAATTATTGCCAAATTTTGTTGCACTTTTGTGACTTGTTCTTAAAATGGTTCATGTTGCTAGTGATTTCTGATTCAAACTCAAGCTTGCTATATTTCCTTGTCACTGTAAAATGGTTCATATCACTAGTGATTTTTGTTTACAAGACTTCTTTCTAACAAACAAGTTAACACCTTTAACAGGTAACATTTTCAGTTCTTAAAACAAAACAAAGAAAACGTTTTCAGTTCCAACTCCTAGCATCTTTTACATCTTGTGTAAGAGCCAAATAACAAACATCTTTTACATATTCCCTCATCTTCATTGATATCTCTGTTTCTGGTACAACTTCTCTTAGAACTGTGAGAAGATAATCAACAGAAACTTTGGTGTTTTTATTTTCTAGGAATAAAGAATAAAATGTTTGGGTGGCAACTCGAACCCGGTTGCATGAACCTTGAGAACAAAATCAGAACATATCTTTAAAGTTTAAACACAAGATCTAGCTACCAGCTTCTTTATCTTTTCTTATTTAATTAAAATTTTGGCAGCAATATACAATTAAAAAGAATACTCTTCTAAAGTGGATTAAATTTCATGTAAAAGAAGTTGAAAAAACAAACTTTCTTGCTTCTTTATTTGGTTCTTCAAGGGAACAGCTACATGCCTAAGATTCATTTCTCAGGCAACATGCACCAATAACAATAGCCAAACACAACTTGCAACAATAGCACTTTGACCCTTTTTTTGTTTTTTTCGTTTTATCCAATTCTTTCATTTTTAACTCTCGAAAAGCAAAGTCTGAAATTTTGTGACAGTTTATAAGTTATTGTTTAAGAGTAATTAACTGTATAGATCAGTCTTTGTTTGAGGAAAAAATGAATGCTTCTTTTCAGTGTAAGATGATTAAAGGTAGGAATCTTTTCAGATAACAAACAAAGATCGAACTAAGATATCAGTTTCGCTTTAGCTTAACAGGACACATGAAAGCAAGATTTCCTAAGAACAACTTTTTGAGTTTGAACAAACTTAAAAGCCAACAAAAACTCAAAATTATAACTTTAAAAAAAAAAAAAAAAAAAAAGGTATCGGTACTTCGTAGGCAACCCGACGCAGATTTTTAGATATTGATAATTTACTATTCCTGTGGAATGCTGATGAGATTTTTTTTAGAGCATAATTAAATCCACAAATAGGATAAGATCGGATAGTAGTTTTTTAAATGAAATGATATTCTATTCCTATACATTTATGAAAATCAATTTGTTTATAGAATTAATACCCAATTCTCATGTTGATTTTACTACAATATTTTTTATGATGTATATAGTTTGAGATATTTTGAAGATCTTCTTTTTTTCTCAAAAAATATTTCATTGTCTAGTCCATGGGACGAGTTTGAAGTTAAGCAGATCATGGAAAGAGAATCTAATATTATGAACTAGTACTATTTCACTGAAAACAAGATAAAAGAAAGAAAACATGTCTCCCTTTAATCTTTGAATGCATATTCAGTCATGTCATGACCCATCCATCATCTTTCTTCGAATCTCCTATCTCACTGAACATGTTTGGAGGCAGCCTTCCGTATTTTGATATCTAGTTATCTACACTTATGATCTCATATGTCTCCATTAACCATATTTGATTTTTTATTTTATCAGCATTGTCATAGTTAAATTAAACAAACCTAACTCGTTGTGATCATTCAGTGGTTGAAAATTTTGTCATACGGTTAAAACATTTGAATCATATACAGCACAAATGGCAAGAATCTTCATAGTTCCCGGAGATTATAGGGACTTTGGTTTATAATCCCCGGCTAGAAAGTTTTAAGCATTGGCGACCAGAGTTTAGATAACAAATCTTGCAAAATACGCATACATGGTTGTCATGCAAACGTATTATTATGATGTAACCGGGGAATATCATTTGGACTGGGGAAGTTGGGGCAAATAGACACAAATCAAAGTTTATAGACAATTTGCTTAAATATTTATTGGTGGATTCAAGTCGTGGGGCTATTTTGTACTTGGAGTAATTAATAATTTAAAATAATGCAAACAATTGGAAGAACATGTGTTAAGATTCTGGGACTAGGCGTAGGGTTTCTCTTTACGTAGTTTTCATAGCGTATGTATTTGTGTACGGCCCTTTGAAATAACGCGAAAACATTTATTCTCGTTTTCATAAATTCTCTTTTTTCTGTTTATTGAAAAAAAGACAAGACAAGAACATTGGCAAGTGAGGACAATTGGTGTGGCTTAAATTAGATATCTAATTATTCGGCTGTGCTCTATTATCTAACGTATCACAATTCGACAGATGTATCTTAGTATCGACTATACATCAATTATTAAATAAAGCTGTTTGAACTTTCATTTTATCGTAGTTGAAATTTTACAAAGAAAATGTGTTCTTAAGGGAGATAAGACATGCCGAATGGCAAATCCGAAAGAAAGATATAGGTGGATGAATATAGAAAGAAAAGTGAAAAATAAACGAAAATAGAAACAGTTAGAACATAAAAGGAAGAATGAGCTGGTAATAATTAAGATGTTTAAGTTAAGAAAATGGCTTTGACAGCATTAAAAGAGAGTGTAAGAAGTTATTAACAGAGCAGAGAGTCTCACTAACTGTAAGTTTGGTGTTTTCGGTCAGCCTGCCCGAACCCAACAACTTGTTAAAACTCCTCTCTACGTTTCCTATATATAAACACACTTAAACACACTCTCATTTCCTCCCAAACAACCCCAAATATACGAAATGGCATCATCTCTTCCTCAGTTCTACGCTGATTTCACAACATTTTCCGGTGAGACTTCTTCGCAGTTTCACGGCTCTTCTTCATGTCCCGACGTGGACTCCTCGTTATCCAGCTACCTTGACGACTGTTATGGCTCCTTCAATACCTCTTCTAATCCAGAATCCATCTTTGTACCCCAAGTTTTTGGTATTTCTGACGTCTCTGTGCCTGAATACAACAATTATTACCAGAAAATGAGTGTGAATAATGCCACACAATACTTTCATGGTGGGGATCATCAAGAATACTACGCCTTTTCACCGGAGATCAAGCCCTTGTTCCGTCCGGCCACAGGAGAGCAATCTTGGGTACATATGCACGTTTCAAAATCTTATAATTAATATGAGAGCCATGTAATATATATGCAAGAAATTAAACAAAATAAAATAAATATTTGTACGAAGCAGGGAAATAGTGAAGGAGGGATACAGGCTGAGCCAAACACAAAAGTGGGACGCTATTCGGTTGAAGAACGTAAAGACAGAATCATGAGGTACTTGAAGAAGAAGAACCAGCGCAACTTCAATAAGACCATCAAGGTATACATACACTCATTCTTATTTAACTTAGTTAATTATTCGTTTTACTTTTAATGTTCATGAATTATGAAAAGAGAGTTTTAAAATTATGATATATGTATGCAGTATGTGTGTCGTAAAACCCTAGCCGACCGACGTGTTCGTGTTCGCGGCCGATTTGCTAGAAATAATGACACATGTGAAGAACAATCTCACATGTCAAAGAATCACAACAACCATTCTGAAAAAGAGGAAGATATGTTTTCAGGATCAGACGACTATCTAATCCAGGTATTATTTAATTATTCCAAGACAGTATATTATGTGCCATTGTTACTATAATTTGTAAATCTAATTTACTAATGCATCCCAATTTTAAGCAGATGGAACACGATGACGGATGGCTTCACGAAGCAATGTCTAATCTGATTCCTTTTCCTTGTGAATTTGACGCTCCTGGAGATGCTCATCATCCAAACACTTGGAGTTTCTGATGTCACTACCCATCTCATTTACTTCCGAATCAATTAATGTCGCTGGCTATTAAATTTTCATCAGTTAGTTTAGTTTTACGTACCAAGCAGCTTATTTATTTTATGGTAGATTTATCATATTGTACTTAATTATTCTTGGGGTTATTGAACATGAAGATTAATTCTGTCTAGTGAATAAATAAAAGAACTTCACCTAATCATCATATCTAATTATGACGTGAGAATAATTTCAGCTAATGCAGGCAATCTGAATACAAGATCAAGTTTTTATGGTTTTTGGATTTATTTATGTTCTTAAAAAAAAAAAAAAGTTATGTTGATCTACTTTTACCTTTTACAGTCAATTAAAGTTTATATAATGTGGAAACCAGAAAGACGATTCTAAGAGGGGTAAAAAGTTTGTTGAGATTATTTAAGGCAAACAACATCTTTTTACAATATGCGAATAAATTGGATGAGTCGATAAGAGATTAATTAACTAGTGGATTCATGGAACAATTGTGTATTAAGGAATATATGATGCAATTTTAATCATAAGACGAATGACTTAACGTAACATAGCTTGTGGCGCCCTTTCTTTTCTTTCTTTCGATGCTTACATATGAATGGATATAAAGAATAATGCCGATTAATTGGTCGTAACAAAACACAGAAACATGATAAGTTGTACACAAATTCTTGCAATGATAGGTAAGGAGCTAAAGAATCCGTTTATTCATTATAGGGTTTATTATCATTGCATGATAATATAGAGAGAGTGGAGATGAAAGACATGATACGGAACCAAGTTCCAATCACTTTTTAAGACATATAATTCTTATAACAAACATATAAGGCTTCAAAATCTGCAAATTCATGATTATATTCTTTGAAGTTGTCCCCTTTATTTTCTGCTTTGACGAATATATGTGAAGTTGAAGGCTGAAGCCCTCTCATTTGCTTTCACTTTCCCACTTTTTTCTTCTCAACACACTTCTAGTGATAAACATGAAACTTGTGTACCTAACAACAAAGTGATATACGTATATATTTTTAGTTTCTAAACGCATAATTAGTATTAGTTTCTAAAAGCCTTGTGAAATCCACAACAAGAGAAAATTGTTGTAACTTTTATATTCAAGATAAATCACTATTTTTTTTTTTGACAGCTCAAGATAAATCACTATATATCATGTGCTTTATGATCATTTTAACTACTTGCTTTGATCATATTCGGAAAATCAGATTTATGATTTAAATCCTAACAATTAACAATTTTGACAACTACAAAAAAAAAACCTAACAATTAACAATTAAACGTAACATGTTGAACTAGTTAGATAGTTTATGGGGAAGTGGGCAACAACAAACAATCTCTTCAGTTCATTGTTGGCCCGACAGCTTATTACTACTAGTATAGAGGACGGATGGGTCTCAACAGGATCCATATATAATGTCTCACGAATTGGATGTATCATAGAAAATTATTTATTTATGTCATTGAAATCTGTTGGCCCTGCTTCTTAACTTGGGCACATATACGACACAATCTATCGCATATGCTTAAGTCAAAATAAGATATAGATTACATCAAGTAATCATTAACTGTTATCTTCCCGTTTGTCAGTCTTCTTAATATCAAGAAAGATATCAGTGTTTACCCATATTTTCAATAATTCCGGTGAATTCCCACTATCTCAAACCTTCTTTTTTTTGCCTTCTATATATAACTGGTCAACTTGAACAGGCAAAAGGCAATATGAATTAATTCAATTTTCTAAAAAACAACTGATATAAGTATACTCATACTATTTAATGAGTATAATACAGTTATGAGATACTTAGTTAGGCTGATACAATGTTGGAATTAATATAGTACTTGAAAGACACATTAATTAATGAAATTACGAATTGCATATAATGATATAAATGGTACAATATATTTTGGAGGAATTGCGACTTTCACATGTTGTGCGATGCGATGAAAATAAGTAATACAAAATGCTTTTGTCCACTTCACTAAAATGTTACTAAGATTCGGCGTTGGATTTCCATATTTTATAAAGCCTGTGTTACCGTTATAGCAGTGAAGGTCGCTCTCTATGCATGTTGAAAACGAAAGCTCCAATCAACATCTTACCCCTTCAATGGGAGGGAGAGCTAATATATGTCTATTTCCAAGTCTTGGCCTCAATATATATATTATTTTTGTTTTCTTTGCATTTCTAATTAATATCCCCATATATTTGTTTCATTTCAAATCTAATATATATGTAAGTCTACAATAATGTTCTTTTCGAGCATTTTTAAGGATCAAATTTTGTATTTTATACATTTTTGGATTGCAGGAACCGAAATTAGTATCGAAGTCTTTCTAAGATAAGAGAAAGTGCAGCTACTTTCTTATCTGTGCATTTTGGTAAGAAGATTGGTTGATTGTTTATTTAATTTTATAATGAGACGAGGTAGTTTAACTAGGGGAATCATCAAACATAGGTTTAAGCAGCTAATCAAAGTGATGTTGCAGCCAAAAAAGGAGTCTACCGGGGCGGAGGTAGTGAAGAGGGAGGGGGTCAATTGACCCCATAACATTTATGATTTTTTGTTTTTTAAGGTAAGTCTGACAATAATTATGGATATTTTGGTTTAATTTTTTTATAATGACCCCATGCCAACAATCAATTCCTTAATTTGACCCCTCACTTGTTTATTTTTTATTTAGCATTAATACATTTTTCATTTTTTTGTTTTATATTTTTTCTAATATATGTTTACAAATATTTAAAATCGTGGTACATATTAATTTTTTAGATATATTCTATTTTTTTTTCCTTAGTTTTTTTCAAAATTGTTTTTATACATATTTTATTTAGTTTAAAATAAATAATTTAATATTAATATGTAATTAAATAAAAATAATTAATTATATATGACTTCTATAAACTAAAATTCTAGTTCCGAGTCTACGTTGAGAGATCAACAGAGCCACGTGTTTTCTAATCATGCAGCAATTGAATTTAACATGGTCGATCGAAAATATATATATATATATATATTGTCACATATCTAAAAGTAAACATACTGTACATATGTGGTTCGTGGGGATTTTGGAAAATAAGATAATGCGACGATGGCTACAAGACAGGGTCCGACAGAATCTTTATAGAAATATTATAAATTACTAGTCTAGATGGGGTTGACCTTTCCCACTGAACTGGGAAAATCTGACCCTTTTCCGTTTTTTTATATAATATAAAAACACTTCAAAACCCAATCATGAAAATGATCAACAAAGTTAAAGTAGGAAGCTAATCAAAATAGGGACGTAGTTACTAGTTAGGCTTCTTATTGCATGCAACTGTGTAACAACAGGGAGCGATCTTGTTACCCAAATGTGAGATTTCACTTCCAAAAAAAAAAAAAAAAAAAAATGAGATTTCACTTTCATTGTCTCTTTCACAAGTTTTTCTTCCAGACAAGACATGGCCTCTCATTTTCCATTTTCTTTTACATATACTTTTTCATTTGAAATACACCTCGAAACAAAGGTGATACTGTAAAATTTAGTTCAAAACGTATACTTGTCTAACTTTGTTACTTTTTAGTAATTTCTTACGTAGTAAGAAAAGTACATGTACTGATGTACAACTAATAAATTTTAAAATTCGTAACTTTTTTAGTTCTTTTTTCATCTCAAGGAAAAAAAATCGTTGATTCATCGTCAACGCTTGTATTTAAGTAACACAACTTTGGTAAACCAAGAAAAAAAGTAATACATGCATATGTGACTATATACTATGTTGCATAGAAACGGAAACGGAAACGCGGAAGGGAAACGTTTCTGAAACGGAAAACAATTTTTTTCTAAAATTAAGGATTATAAACGTTTTGGAAACGTACACACATACATATATATATAACACTAACATATAACTATATTATAGATAAAATGGTTTAAACAATACAAGTCCGAAATATCAATATTAAATGGGTTAACTAAAATACTAAAAGATAAAGATTAAAAGGTTCAAGTTCAAATATTTAATTTATACCAACATTTTCATTTTTATATTCATTAGTTTCATCAAAGATCATATAAAGCTGTCTTCAAATCTGGTTTGTCGAGAGAAAGATCTTAAAACTTAGAGTTTTCCAGAATTAGTTATATGTATTATAAATCTTAATATTTCTAATCTTTATTAATTAAGTTTCTTTTTTTTTTTTTTTTTTTGATAACTCAGGGGAATCCCAGACCTATGGAGGGGCCCAGACTAATCCCCTGGGGGAGGTGCAGCCCACAGATAGACTCTCTCTCCGGGTATGCAAATGGGCCGAAAGCAAGGGCCCATATCCATGTGGCCAAGTGGAGATCTAACAATTGCGCGCTTGCGGGGAATCGATCCCTGGCCTAGACCAACAGGGCAACTCCTCCACAAGTGGCAACCACTAGACCAAGAACACTTGGTTATATTAATTAAGTTTCTAAAACCAATAAAAAGGATTTGTCGCGTTTCCATCGTGTTTCTAAACATAGATTTTTAGAAAACGCATTCATGTAACGTTTTTCGTATTTCCAAAAAGTTTCTGCTTCCGAAACATTTCGAAAACGAAAAACGGACCTTTGAAAGAGTTTCCATGCAATATAGACTATATAGACCATAGTCATCGTCGTTACTCATCCGCTTTTAAACGAGCAAATTTAAAGTTGCATTATTCCGACTTCCGAGAATTGAGAACATGGGCACTCGCCTTGGTGGGCTTCTTATAGTACTCTATCTCGCAACGTATTGGGCTTTCAATTTTAGGCCCATAATACCTAAACATAGCCCAAGGTGTTGACTTGGAAAGAGACTAATTTGATTACGAAGATAAGTTGGAAAGGGGCATGGCTCACGATAGCCAAGCGTTAAGTACTAGTTTCAAGCGTGGATTTTAGAAGTATTAAACAAAATGAGTTTATTTTAGAAGCCAAAAACTGAAAGTCTACTAGAATTTTAAATGGCTTTCATGTATAAGTTTTTTATTTTATTTTTAACTTTTTTGGTAAAGAGCTACAAATATAACTTGCTTACGTATACGTATATACCCACTTCAAGATATATTTGTATACCTACTTAAATGTTTTTTAATTGTTATAATTGTGCGGCTTTGTGTTTAAGGCAAAACGCATGCACCACAAAATGTTCTCTTGTAAGAAACTAGCTAGAAATTAAAACCCTACT